CTGCTACACCGCCAGCTCCTTCCCCTTAGACGAAGAGGTACCTGAAACCAAAACTGAAACTGTAAGCACAAAGCTTAGTGAGTTCCCCCATCATACCACATACCATATAATATCGTCGGTATCTTTCAACCGGTAACTGTCATCGGTACCCTTCAACCGCTATCTGTCATCGGTATCTTTCAACCGGTAACTGTCATCGGTATCTTTCAATCGGTAACTACCATCGGTATCTTTCAACCGGTAACTGGGGACTATTTCACCCCCTACCATTATCATACAATAACAAGGTATAATCATACAATCAGGCATAAGTGGGTACTGACCTACCCCCCTCAATCCTAAAGACCGATGCCAGGGAAAAACTAATCCCTACCACTACCAGTAACACACATAACATGTCACACAGGCATATCCCATGACCAAAGCACATAACCATACCAAGACAATTATCACAAAGACAATTATCTAACAACTACCCTTGTTGGTGGGCCGGCATTGTGGCCTTAGACCCACCCATACTGGAAGGTAACTCACCTCGAACGAGTAGCTGCTGATAATCTGCGCGGGAAATCTCTGTCTGCTGCTGCTCCGGAAATCCTCCGGCTATAATCCCCACAAAACACTTAATCAGAATCTGATATCTATTCCTAGAGTAAGATGACCATTTTACCCCTGACCAAGTCGAAGTCAAAGTCAAAGTCAACTTCCAGTTGACCTGACTCGCCGAGTTGGGCCGCCAACTCGTCGAGTCCCTATCTCTTCAACTGTCCTCATCTACGTCTCTACTCGTCGAGTTTGGCAACGACTCGACGAGTTCTCCTTCTAAAACAACCCCGGATGAACCTTCATCCGACTCGCCGAGTTGTATGAACATCTCGTCGAGTTCATCTTCATCCTATGAACAAGTCTTGTCCTCGACTCGCCGGTTGTATGAACAACTCGTCGATTTCATCTTCAAGAGTTTGGAGATTGCCATGGACTCGCCGATTCGGCTCATGCACTCGCCGAGTCCTATGAACTCCAGGACTATGGCTTATCTCAATACGTTTGGGTCACTCCCCTGGACCCTCTAAAACCTTTCTAACACTCAACTGGGTCTCTTGAACCATAACAGAAAAGGGGAGTCTAACCTCGGACTCGCCGAGTCCCAAGAACGACTCGCCGAGTCGATACAGTCCAAGTCTATTTCTTCGATTTCTGGTGTACAACTCTTGTCCAGATGATAGATCTAGGTCCCTAAACTCGATCTAGCACGTAAAGTTACGAACTTTACGTGCATGCATGGGACTTTGAGCCAAAAAGGCTCTAAAAGAGGCTCTTAAGTTGCATGGGGGCTTCCATGGGTGCAAAAGCATCCCTTTTCTGCCTTGTAACTCCTCCATGGACCTAGATCCGAAGCCTCAACCCCCAACCATGCTTGCAATCATGGTTGGTTACCAAGAATGGCTTATAAAAGCCCTAAATCTCCCCAAAAAGGGATCTAGCAAATGAACAAGCAAGGCATCGACTTTATACCTTCTGGGAACTGCAAATGATGCACAAACTTGAGCTCCCTTGGTCTCCTCTTGATTCCTCTAGGCCCTTCCTTCTTCCTTGTGATCAAAACCACCAAGAATCGCCACAAATGCCTTTAGGTCTTCACACACACAGTTAGGGTTTGCTATGGGGGGTTTCTGGAAGCAATAGGGACGAAGGGTGGCCGAATGAGATGCTTAAATAGGGTGCAAACCCTTAGATTAGGGTTTTGTCCGGTCAGAGTCTACTCGTCGAGTCTGGAAGCCGACTCGCCGAGTCCGTCATTTAAATCCCGGATCAAATCCGCTTTTACTCGACGAGTTGGGCCTTCAACTCGCCGAGTCCCAGGCCAAAACGCAAAATACTTAAATAAAATACATACCATGAACCAGGTGCTACAAGTACGGAGAACATAAGGTCATCCGTTATACTCATCACTAACCATTATAGTGGTGGGTGTCACATCATCATCACTAACTACCACTAAACCTATGGGATACCCGCCACTACCACTCCACTCCATATCATTTTTTTATATTTATTTTAATTCAAAGTTACAATAAAAATACAACTTTAAAATTTGAAAAGAAAACATACATTTTTTTAATTAGTTTTTCATTTGATAATAAATAAACATTACATTAATATTAAAAACAACATTACTTAAATAACCTATAATTAAAAAAACAAACATAAAAAAGCTAATCTTCGTTCATGTTAAGTTGATACAAATGCTCCGCGACATCTTCTCGAAGATTGAAACTCGTTTCAATGTTATAAATTTCAACAATTCGTGCTAAAAATTAAGTCGTCCCGGGTACGAACTCTTCAATCGGGATGACAACGTCATATGGATCATATGTGCAAATCGTTCGACCTTCATCTTCAATAATCATATTATGCATTATAATACATGTTTCGGTCATTCGTTTAATTCTATCTTTATCCCATAGTCGTGTGGCGTATTTCACTACATGTCATGTCTGCTTGAGGACTCCAAATGCCCTCTCGATATCCTTTCTTGCGGATTCTTGCCTTTTTGTGAACAACTTTGCATTTTCATTTCGTGGAACCAAGTATGTCTTCATAAATATAGAATAATCAGGGTATATTACATCACAAAGGTAGTAACCGTATTTGTATGAATGTCCATTCACCGTGAACGACATATCAGGTGCTTTGTCGGTCCAAATATCGTTGAAAAGAGGAGACCGGCCAAACATTAATGTCGTTGTTAGACCATGCAACTTCAAAAAACGAATGACATATCCACAAAAACTGAGATGCAACAACTTTTAGTATTATAGTTGGCTAATACAAATATGAGGGGGTTGATTTCTTTTTGGGTTTTTATGATTTTATAAACGCAACGGAAAATAAGAAACAAGAACAAGAACGATAAGAAAATGACAAAATGGATAGATTTGATAGACAACCTAGACCTATAGATTGAATATCGGGTGAAAACAAGTTAAGACCTATTAACTTGAATCCGTATCAAGATCAGGAAAGCATCCGTCACATGATATTTGATGACAAGCCAAGACCTATTGACTTGAAATCGAGCCACGAATGAGAAACGTGTCCCAAACAATGACGACAATCCGAATTATACGCAATAATTCAAGAACGTAAGAACAAATGTTCAAAATTCAACTTCATTCATTCAATATCGATTACAATGCTTAAAGAGGCTATTTATAGCCTTACAAACTATTACAAAAGAAAGGAAAGTAATTAATAAAAATGAAACTACCTAATAAAAGCTTAAAAGAAAATAAAATAAAATAACATAAAATCGTTCCCAAAAATAAGGTAGAGTCTAGAATCTTTGTCCTTAAGAAATCATGCCAAAGTCCACGTGTTAGGAGCTGCTCCCAACCAACTTTCGCATCCATCATCAGTCTGTTCGCATCCAACAGTTGTCCACTCGTTCGCATCCAACAGATTCGCACCCATGTAACCCATCACATTTAAACGTAACATCCCATTGGAACCGAGTAGTCCGTCGGAACCAAGTAGCTTTCGCATCCAAGTAGTTTTTGTATCCAAGCCCAACAACAAATAACCATTGGATCCAACACCAAGCAACAACCCATCGGAACCAAAGTACACCAATCTGATCCATGCATGTGTCGGAATCGCATCTTATCTCACTCTGAAGTTGTTCACAACCATTTGACTGTGATAGGTTGCGATCGTTCACATCCAACTCCATGTCCGCATTCAATAACACTTTGAGGTTGACATTCACATCTGAAAACACTAGATTGCGATTCATTACGATCGTTCGCACTCAATCGTAACCAATCGCAACTAAGGTTTGGCTCGGAACTAGAACTCTTTTCGGAATGGGAACTCATATTCATATCATTGGCTCACATATATCACCTCGCGTAAATTGACCGCGCCACACATTTGGACATTTTCCCCAAGCTACATGCGTACAATCTAGACTGCCAAGCATAACCGAAAATCCATGTCTCTCTTCATGAGCCAAATATAATATCTCAATATCACGTGGAATAGGTTTACGCAAAAAAAAAAATTTAAAAACCTCATACACACATGCACAAAACCAATCTACACACTCAACTGCGATCCTTTCGGATACTTTTAAGTACTCGCCGGATGCATCAAAGGTTATACAATTTCCCAAATACGTAAGTGCAATTTGTATACAACTAAAACTCATTATTCCTCTAGTATCGAGTTTTTGTTTAAAAAAATCATAACGGACCTCTCAAGCATTACCAATACGTAAAAATATAACTTTATTAAGACGGAAACAACGTTCGAATGCATCTTCATTGTAAAGACAATTATCGGCAAAATAATCACGTACCAATAAGTCGTGTGCGGCTTGACGATCACGATTGACGACCGATCTTGAACGCGCAATATTCGAACTTTTTTCATCGTGAATGTGTTGCACAACGTTGAAGAAGGTCGAGATGAATTCTTTGTCATTATCCGAGTCAAAATTCTTAAAGAAATCCATGTCTTTTTGTTTTAGAGATAAAGTGTGAAATTTGATGAAAGATAAGGGTTATGTATTGTATTTATATAGGTAATGAGTTTGAATATAATAATAATAATAATAATAATAACTTCAAAAATACCACCATTAAATGGTCGAATTGACAACCCAGATTCTCATGGGTCGTCCGCTCTCATAGCCAATTAGCCATCATGAAACGCAACGACCACGACTCACAACGACACACCAGTACGGTGTTCACGGTCGTCCACTCACAACGGTCGAATTGACACACCAGTACGGTGTGCACGGTCGTGATTCGTGACCACGTATACCACGGGCGGTCTCGTGCTTAGTATACCGTACGGTCTAATACTACTCCGTTGGATTTTTTTTTTAACTATAAATTTGCAACAAAAAACAAAAGCATATTCCAAGAAAATAACGAAAGCAATAATTCAGAAGCAAGCACCCTGCTGCATTTGCAACAGAAATACATTATAATCATCTCTAATACAAATCACAAATTATTCATTCGAAACAGTCAATAAACCCTACCACAACAACACATCATTCGATGATTTATTTTCCCTATTTATTATTCATAATACACTTAACTATATCCAAGATCCTAAAATAATCATAAAACAAGGACGAGTGTTCCCCTTCAAGCCCATCCCGGCTAACCCGATTACTCCCGGCTAGATTATTACACGGACTGCCACCCACAATGAGGTCGAACCCACCGAACGAGCCCATGAACTGCTCGAGCCGGTCTCCGTTTAGTTGTTGCACATCGGCTAAGTGAATCAGATTCCCTTTTTGGTTCGTTTGTTCCCACCAGCTTCTCACAATGTCACGGTTTGCTTCCGAGATTTCAACCGACACCACGTTTTTTAGCTTGATTCCGAGCCTGTGGAGTGCAACTTCGGCACCACCGATTCCGGAGAAGAGCGATAGCATGTTGATTCCGTTTGGGAATATGTCTTTTAGTACTGACAGATGATATGCTACTGTGTCTACCTGTAGACAAAATATAAATATAAACCTTTTGTTTGTGTATGATAATATCCTACTTTCATTTCTTTATATTTCTATTATAGTATTGTACTTTAGATTTCTTTTGTTATATAAGATCTTACGCTTTGAGAAATATAATCAAAACCAACCGTATTTTAAATTAATGTTAAAGAAAATAACCCAAAAAAAATTTTTTTTTTTTTTGAAGAACTAAGAAGTCTGGAATGGGTGATTCCAATCGACTAAAAAGTAGTTTTTTCTGACAAAAAAATATATTTCAGACCGACATTCCGGATTCCGGATTTCATATAGGAATAAAAAACTACGGAATTTCAAGAACAAGTCCAAAATCTGATGAACAATTCCGAAATTTCAAGAAAATACTATGTTTTTTTTACTAAATGTAACAAAAAGTTAAAAGAAACATAGTAAAATGGAAGTATATACAATACAAGGGTATAAAATCAGACATTTTATTGAAAAACCGTGTGTTTGTTTGTAGAGATCTGTTTTCATTTTCCAAGAAAATGTTTTTAGAAAATAAAGTTAATTTTCATTTTCAGTTTTCAATGAAAATTTTAGAAAACAGTAAAAATCACTATTCTAATTTACATAAATTTAGAAAACTGTAAAAATCACTATTCTAATTTACATTCAGTTTGAAAAACAGAAAATTTTCATTTTCTTGGAAAAATTTTGAAAACCGAATCTAAAAAAAATTCCGCACTCAAAACAGTAGAGTTTTATAAAAAAATTGCGAAAAAAAAAGAACTATGGAATTTCAAAAACAAGTCCAGCATGGAGCATTATTTTGGAGGGAGAAAAATGGTTATTTTTCAAAAATTGATAAAAAAAAACGGTCATCTTTGTTGATAAGCTCTTTATAAGAGTTGGTTTAGTTAATATCCCTTTTTTAAATAGTTCTTCTTAGAGTCTACCCAGTTATAACATTGAAAATTGTTTTATATTTGAGTATGACACAATTATAACTGGGTTTTGGATTTTCATAAACAATGTCATAATAGAAAGAAATGCTATTTCTTTAATTTAACTTGACCTCAAAAATAATAATATGTAATTAACTAATTATTACCTGAAACGAGTTGCCAAGTGATTTGTATCTATCTGTCCTACTAATCCCTCCTCCTCTGGTATGATTCCTCGGAAACCCTAACAACATTTCAACCTCATCAGGCTCTAATGGCGCAACCTTGTTCTTCCCAACCCAAACCAAGTTCCACTTCCGACATTGCTCAAGAACAAACTTCTGAACATGCACAGGCGGATTATCCCCCCATTTTTCAAGAGCTTTCCTTATTCTATCAGTCAATCTCGCACTTCCGATCACCGTTTGCAAACAGTTCAGCTTCGTTCGCTTATCCCACTCCGGCCACCACCTCTTCGTCAATGGCAGCGCGTCGTTTACAGTGCGAGGAGGAAGAGGAAGAAGCGGGAATCGGTTTTTGATCGGAAGGTTGTGAACGTACCCGCGTTTTCTAGCGGCGGCGCAGAAGTACTTTGAATCGACGAATTCCGGTTCGACGTCGTATAGGAAGCGAGAGATGGTGTCCCAGACGCCTTTTGGAGCTAGGGCTACGTTTTCGTAGTAGAAGAATGGAGGTCCGATGGCAGCGTCGGGGAGGACTCTGTGAGTGATGACGTGTGTGTCTGTTGGGACTCCGAATCCGATCATCGGATTTGGAAGACGGAGACCTTCGTCTTCTTCGGAAAGAATCCCCTTTCGCTTCTTTGTTTTCCATATCTCGAGGTCGTATAATTTTCGCTTCTTGAAATCGCCATTGACGCGAAGTGGGAGCTTCGGTTTCTGAAATCAGATGAATAATGAAAAGATAATTTTGTGATCCCGATAAGATATTGGGTTAAATCGGGTCGATTTTTCAGTGGACTCGGGTTAAATTGACTCGTGTATAACTTTATAATAATAGTTTATCTCCAGAAAAAAAAAAAAAAAAGTGTTGAACAGGTTAATTCTAACATTTATTTTTTGAAAAAAAATATTATTATTTCGTTAATTTGGGTAAAATATAAAATAATCATAACTTTTCTATTAAAAAAATAAAAATTATAACTAAAGTGTAAACCGACCCAAAATATTTGAGACTTTATTACAGATTTTACATATTTTATATATCAGATTATAAAACTATTATAATAATCATGAATTTTATGCAACAAACTTGCACATTTTTTCCTTTTTTGCAATAACATTTAATTTTATTAATTAACAAAACTGCAAAAATGGTCCTTATGGTTTCTCATTTTATGTGGTTAAGGTCCAAACCTTTGAAAAGTTTTAGATTTGGTCCTATTAAACACGTTTTGTTGTGGTTTTGGTCCCTCTTCCGTTAATTTTTATAAAATAACTATTTTCCATCGGAGACCATTTCTACATATCTTATTTTTAATTTTATTGAATTATTATATACTAATAAAAATATTTTAATTGAATTATTATATATGAATAAATATTATTTTTAATATATAATATTTATATATTAATTAATACTATTATATTGGATTATTAATTTATTTTAATTAATTTTGTTCATAGGAGTAATTCTTTTTATTGGATTATTATATACTAAATATTATTTTAATTTATAATATTTATATCCTAATAAATATAACATTATCAAATTAATAATTTCTTTTAGTTAATTTTTAACTCCTTTTTTTGGATTATTTCTTTTTTATTGGAATATTATTTTTAATTTATTATTTTTTTATATAATAAATATTGTTTTATTGGATTATTAGTTTATTAGTTTATTTTTAAGATACTATTTTTCTTTTTAATTTTATTAGTTCCCCACAAAGTCGTCAGAATACGCAAAAGCATGCCTCTCATCATTGAAAATCGTTAGGATCACCACAAAACATCTTCATCGGAGGTCGGATAGAAACTCACCAACTTTTTCCATCCAATGATGACGGTAGTCAACTGCGATAACACCACTACTATCACCCGATCACCACCACCACTTTTAATGTTTATAGGAGTTTGTTGCGCATTGTGTGGGATATGGAGGATTTCAACGAATTGTGAAGAGGTTTTCGTAGGTGGCTACCGGGAATGTTGGATGGAAAAAGTTAGTAGGGTTTACGTCGGACCTCCGATAAAGATTTTTGGCAGTGAACCCGACGAATTTCGTTAATGAGTAGGCGGCGTTTTTGCGTATTCCGACAACATTGTGGTGGAGCCAATAAAATTAAAAAGAATTAATAGTATACATTAAAAATAAACTAAAAAACTAATAATCCAACAAAATAATATTTATTATATAAAAAAATAATAAATTAAAAATAATATTTCAATAAAAAAGAAATAATCCAAAAAAAGGAGTTAAAAACTAACTAAAATAAATTAATAGTCTGATAATGCTATATTTATTAGGATATAAATATTATAAATTAAAATAATATTTATTAATATATAATAATCCAATAAAAAGAATTACTCCTATAAACAAAATTAACTAAAATAAATTAACAATCCAATATAATAATATTAATTAATATTATAAATAGTATATATATGAAAAATAATATTTATTCATATATAATAATCCAATTAAAATATTCGATAACAAAGAAATTAAAATTAAAAGAAACTAATAATCTAATTAAACAATATTTATTAAGATATAAATAGTATATATTAAAAATAACATTTATTAATATATAATAATTGAATAAAAACAAAAAGAATATATGTAGAAATGGTCCCTGGGGTAAAATAATCATTTAAGAAAAGTTAACAACCATGCTGTTAAAGTTAACGGAAAATGGACCAAAACCACAACAAAACTTGTTGAAAATGACCAAATCTACAACTTTTCAAAGATTTGGAGCTTAACCACATAAAATGAGAAACCACATGGACCATTTTTGCAGTTTTGTCTTATTAATTTATGCAATAAGGTTTTCATTTTTTACCAGCTAGTTGTAAACTCATGTATTACATGAGTTAATTTAAAAAATAAATAAATATGAAGGTCTAAATATTTGAGAACTTTGGATTTATAAGAAAATAAGAAAAATAATGTATTATTAAAATTGAAATGTTTTTTTTATCTTTTAATTTAAAAAAAAATAATTTATATAAATAAACAAAAGAAACTAATGAACTTAAATTAAAAAATTTTAAAATTAGAATGTAAGTCCATTAATAAAATTGATATCTATTTATTACTACATTTATTGTAATTATTACATTAAAATATTATGTGGAAGTTTATAAAATAGGAAAACTCATAAAATGACATGTGGAAAAAAATAATTCAAAATAACCACAAAATAACATTTGGCAAATTGAATGAGAGTGACATGTGGCAAAAAAACTTTCATTTATTAGAGTAAATATTAAAGTAGACTAGTGTTAATTAAAAAAATAAATAAATAAATATAAATGTCAAATTATTTAAAAACTTTGAATTTATAAGAAAAATAATGAATTATTATAATGAAAATGTTTTTTATCTTTTAAATTTAAACAAATAATTTAAACTAATAGAAGAAAACTAAAGAGCTTTAATTTTGGGAATTTTGAAATTAAAAGGTAATTCATTAATAAAATTGATATGTATTTATTACTACATTTATTGCAATTATTACATTAAAAAGAGTAGAAAAACTTATAGAATCACATTTATAAAAAAAATAATTCAAAATAACCACAAAATGACATCTGACAAATTGAATGAAAGTGTGACAAATGGCAAAAAAAAAACTTTCATTTATTAGAGAAGATTGTTGCTATGAAACAATGTCTTATTTCGTTTACAAATTTTATGCAATGTTTTCAAATCTTTTACCAATCTATACAAATTATACAACCATGTTTCAACCAGTTACACAAGTTACTAGTAAAATGTGTTTTTGGTCCTAAAACAAACATCGTTGCATTTACTGTAATAAATAATTTTGCCACATGTCAATCTCTAATGAGTTTTGACACTTGTCATTTTGTCATAATTTTTAAATAAATAATACCCACATGTCAATTTATGGTTTTTTTCTAATTTTTAAAATTAAAAAGCCACATAATACTTATAGTTATATATGTAAAGTATCAAATGTAATAAATATTATACTAAATTGCAATTAATATGTTTCTTTATTTCTTATTTCAAAATTTTATTTTAAAAAATACTTATTATTTACATTTTAATATTTTTTTTTTAATTTTACACCTAGTGTATAACACAGAAAACTCAAAACCACTTTATTGCATAAATTGGGAAAAATGTGAAACATTGTTACATAAAAGTGCATTTAGCCTTCTTTTTATTTTTAAATCTATTTAGGAGGTTGTAATTTGTAAACATTTTAAATATACATTTCGTGACTTTTAAAGTTGTTTTCTTTTTAGCAACTTTTGTTGTTTGACTCATGATCAATAAAATATAACTCAAATGTACCATAAAAATGTCGAAAACACATGAAGAATATTTTTAAAAGTTTTTTTTTTTTTTGTTATCGTCAAGAAAAAATAAATACCTCATCCTCAAAAAATACGGCTTCTGTTTTTGCCATTTGAGCAGCACAGATAAAATCAGTTAGTTCTACAATAGAAGCTTCTGGACCTGTAATGAAAAACAATTTGGTTTATGCCATTTAATAATAATAATAAATTAAAATTAAACTTTATTAAAAAAAATATTTTTTTAAAAAAATCTACTTACCACATCTCTCCATGGCTGCTGAAGCCTCTTCTACGCTATACCCCATATTTGCTAAGGATAATAATGATTTCTCATGTTTAGGTAAAGAACTGGTATTATTCTGTTCAACATAGATTTTCATACATCAACATTCTTTTGACAATTTCAAAAAGCATTTTTAAATTTAAACTAAAAAAGAAAAGGGTAATTTTGTCCAGATAAATTAATGAAAAGAACTAGACACCAATAAAGCAACCTTTGACAGCTCATAAAGCTATGTTGATGGAACCAGACTAGACTAGACTAGAGTGTACCAGACAGCTTTATAGGACTATTTTGGAATATTACTACAAGGGTATTTACGTCTTTTACACAAAGAAAGAGAACAAAACAAAAGCAAATCTCTAAAACTGTCTGAACTTTTTCCACTTTTTTTTGGTAGGACAGAAAGTTGCAACTTTTATCTAATTAATATCAGTCTCAATATATGTCAAACACAGTATAAAACTGTCGTATTCTGTTGAAATGATGACGTGGCAAGAATTGACTTACAGCTACTTCACTACCACCAGACCAACTACTGTCATCAGACTCAGAGAGATCATCACATACGCTCTCATCATAATCTGATGACAATTCACCATTTTCTACACACGATTGTTGTTGTTGTTGTTTTGAGGAGAATTGAGATGACATGAGTTTAATTCATCAGGAGAGTCTTCAACTTCAAGAACCTGTAAATATATAAAATCAAAATTCAAACATTAATATTAAATTGAAGTATGCTATTAGGTCTGTTTCTTTTTGACAGATTTGCCCTTCTTTTTTCCCTCTCACATTAAACAGAATAAGAAAAACAAAACTTACTGAGTATGTAAGCAGAGATTCAAGTATTGATTCTGTATTGGCTTCCCCTACACGTATCGAGAAATAAAAATTTATATATAAAAAAAATTTATTATCTCTGTAGTTTTTAAATTATATACCATTTTCTTTAATTGCTTTTGCAATCGACTGTTCAGAAAACCCCATCCCTAGAAAATGTTGAAACAAATTGGAGTTTGAAGGGCCTGCAGATGAGCTTGCCTTGAGATGAAAAAATATAAAGTTCAGTAAAAATGGAATTTAATTTATGAGATTTAATAAAATATGGGTAAAAAAGTAATTCACCTCCCCATTACTAACAATAGTTTGTGAATTGAGAGTTGTTAAAGTTGCATGAGATGAAGGGGCGATGTTTTGGATTTCAAGTTCATCATCTGTATTCCAATCAATATTTTCATACTCCTCACCAGAAGCATTCGCATCCTATATAAGTTTTAAAAAAAATAATAATAATAATTTTTACTGTTATAATTGGGTAAATTTTTCAAAGTTAAATTATGGAATAGTGTTTTTTCCCTAGCCAAAATCCAGAGTACTTTTTTATCAGAAAAAATACTTTTAATGTGACCCATTTAGACCAAATATCGAATTAAATCTTTCATTTTTTTATGGTCAATTTTGTCAATTGTTAAAAATAAACAATATACAGATGGTATAAAAAAGTAGTACCATTTGTCTATAATCTTTGGTCTTGAACAGGTAAAGCCCTCAATCTGTTCAAAAAGAAGATTGAATACTAAAATTAGAGCAGTCTTTATAACATACAATTATTTAAAAACAATACATGCAATAATTGCTATTTCAATCTATTCTAATAAACTTTATAAATTGCTTCTGTAACTAAACATTCTGACTTAAAATAGTTATAAAATCACAGTTTAAAAAGAAAGTAAAAACATTGTGTCTTTATCACGCAAAAATCGCAAATTTTTCTTAGAGTTAACCTAAAATCCAAGATTTCACAGAAAGAAAACCCTAGTAAGCTTCAAGTCATCTGCTTTGAAACCACCGACAAACCATCAAACATTTAATTCTCAAAGAAAACGATTAAAACTTCAAATGATCGAACTCGAGTGATGCGCAACCACCAACATTGAAAGTAAACAGAGAAATTAAACTAATTTGAACATAACTTACCAGATTAGCCTAAAATCCAAGCGATTTTGAAGCTAATATCCGAAATGCACTTCCTGATACATCAAAAAATGAAAGAAAAATAATCAAACGGGTGAAAAAAAAATTGGGGGAATTCATCGTTACTACATATCAGTAATTAAAAAGGGGAAATTGGGAAAATTGATTCAATCAATACAGGACAAAGCAAGTAAATGCTTATTTACACATGTTACGAGTTCTGATTCTGGCCCCTTCGCCGATTAGGGGAGAGAAAGAGATTCGCAAGGGAGCTTCGTGAAGAGCCCCTTTGACGAAATTTTTTTTGTAACGGGAGAAGCATATTTAATACTCCTTTTTTGGGACAAAATTACAAAATTGGTCATGTGGTTTGCCATTTTTCCAGTTTAGTCCAACGAATTTTTAAATTGCAGTTTTAGTCTAGTTTGATTGAGGACCAAAATTTGAAAAGATTGATTTACCATTTGATTTGTTTGTTATATTTTTATTATTTATTTTACTATATATTTTTTTTATTATCATTAAATACCACTCTGATACGAACCTGTTAGCCACGTTTTATTTAGCCATGTTTTCTTTTAATTAGTCAATTAGTCAAATAGTAATTGCTTATATTTAGGAGGCCATGATTCCATTATGCATGCACGTTTCCATTTCTTAGTTAGTGTAGGTAGTATATTTATATTCCATGTAATTTACTTTTGAGGCATGAATGAATATTAAGAAAATTGCTCCAAACGATTCTCTGTCTTCTTCTTATTTATTGGGAGATTAACCTACTCTAACATGTTTATATCAATTGGTGCTTTCATCATCATCTCAATGCCTCCAAAAATCGAGTCCGGCTCCACCTCCGACAACCCCAAGATCACCCCTGACAACCCCAATGTCGCCCTCAACGATCAATTGCAGGTTTTAATCCACCTTGCCACCGCCACCAACAACCGCCTTGTCACACCCCCGGACCAGATGGCGGAAACGTCCGGAGGCGGGTGACTTCATTGTGCAGTATCATAACAATTGAATATAAATGAAACAGAGCAATCCAAACATCATACATTGAGATAACAAACTTACATTGTTTACATATTGTATTTGCTCTTCGAAATTACACAAAAGAGACATAAGTAGAAAAATCCAAGCTACAGCTAAAAGTCTTGCATCCGTGTCCCTTGTTACCTGCTTACTAGATACCTGAGAATACAAGTCGTTTTGAAAAGCGTCAACTAAAAAGTTGGTGAGTTCATAAGCAGTTTTGTGTATAAAATCGTTTACACTTGTTTAGAATCGTTCTTGTTGTACTTTCAGAAAATCCGATATTTTCTATGAAATCGTTTGAAGTCTTGCCTTGAAAATCATGAATATGTGTATGCATGACATTACTTTTGTTCATCCTTATAAGGAGTGATTTTGAAAAAGTAGTGTGATTTGTAAAAGCGAGCTGTGTCCGAGAATAGTTCGTTTGAATAGTAACAATCAATCGTTTCAAGAAAAATCCCTTATTTTCAAAAAGGAAATATGGTTGAAAATCTTGTTCCTCTTATCGAGTAAAATTGAGTGTGTGCTTTCTAGTTTATTGTTATCGAAATCGTAGAAAAATCGTTTTCCCCAGAAAATCCTATATTTTCTGCTATAAAATAATCGTAAGTTCTAGTTTCCAACTATGTATATGTGTGGGTTAGTTTATCGTTATCAAAATCGTTTACAAACGTTTTCCATAGAGTCCTACGCTTTTTAATTTGTAAAAATAGCAGTATTACGACTCTATACTTGTATGAGAAAGAATCAATATGGCTATTGTGGACATTCTACGCGATGAAGAAGGACAGTCAACACAACAAATGCGGACCATCACTTATCACGTGTAGGACAGTCAACACAACGTGCCAAAATTTATTTATGAGGTTTTCCTTACATAAATTTCTAGTTAATGTAACATATTCTAGTGAGTCGTTATAACCATACTAATCTGACGAAGTGCCTGTTTTGGCGTTTCTCAGGCGCCCTCAGTTTGGAAAAAGACATTTGTCACCCTAGACTGACCTGTCTAGCTGTAGCGAACAGCGAAGGTGCGGGGTGTCAACCCCGTATAGATCTATACACAAATTCTCGCTCTCCCTCCAGGAGACTCTGGCTATAACTCCTTACAGGACTTAGACGTACACTAATATTTTTATATTTAGGTACTTTTGAGATTTGTCTGACTAGAATATTAACAACCTTTTGAGAAATCGTTAGAGATCCATTATTTGTTAGATAAATAATGAAATTCGTACTTATTGAATAGAAGTATCGTTCTCGTTCCATATCGTTGATTGTGCTCGTTAACTAGGTGCTCGTGTTTGTTCCTTTTCGTTTATTGAAATAAAATAAGTCATTTTAGTCAGGAGAGAAAAAGTGTCAAGTTATAATTTATATAAATTTATAACTGCCGGTTATGACACGCATTTTCTGTTTTATGACATATATAACATTACTTATGTTCTTGGAGGTTTTATGGCAGCAGCTTATGACATGCAAATGTTTCTGTCATAAAGGCTCTATTTGTATATTTTCTTGACGCAACCTTTTATGTTGAATATTTATAAAATACTCCCTGATAGTTTGCAAAATAGTCACCAAGTTTCTATTTTCGAAAATCACTAGAAATGGTGTCCACTTAGTAAGGTTCCTTTTTACAACTTTTATCTTTAGACATGAAAGCATAGATAAGGGGTTAAGTTGGACACACTCAATAGTTGGGAGGCTCTTTTGCACAAAGTATCATCTGTTCTTTATGAAATTGAGAAATCCTATGTTCGTGAGTATATTACTAAAATATTAATTTAATAATATTTCACACACACATACAATCATACGTATATAAGCACTTCTTCAAGTATTTAGGCAAGATTTGACTTGTACTCTCCCCCAAAAACATTAAAATATTGAAAAGGTGGGGTATGAAGCTCACCTTGGTTTGTTTGTTGGGTGATTCGAAGAGTGATGAGGAAGTTTCCAAGCTCCAAACTTGAATGATTCTTAAATCTCTAGAGTATTCTAAGAATAATTTTCATGTGTAAATATGATGAAATCTTAGAATAATGTGAAGAATAATTGTTTTAAAGAGGATAAAATACTCACCCAAGAATTCTGAGAATTTCTCTTGAAGAGATGAACTTGAAGCTTGAAGGAGTTGAGAGCACTCTTAGAAGTTTGCTAGAGGTGAAAAATGAGAAGTGAGGAAAAAGGAACAAGAGGAGTTCACGTATTCTAAGTGGAGGGATAAGAGTGATATGACACTTGCTTGGAGGACTGGTGTGCAAGACTTATATCCATGGGTATTTTTGTGTTTAACTGGGATTTGCTTGGGAAATGAGGAATTTGCATCCCATCATAAAGTCAATTTCATTGTCCTCTTCTTGATTTAGGATAAGGTTTTCCTAAATTCCTAAACTTGTATTTTATGTAAATATAATTTAAATAATTAAATTTGGCATAAAATAAAGGTTTTAGGGGTCTTAGTTAAGAAAAACACGAGTTTGGTGGGATTCCCGACCTCAAAATACCCCAAAATGAAGAAAATGTCCGGAATAGTCCAAATTCCGGGGCTAAATAGTGAATTCCGGAACTCTAGGGCAATTTCCGAAGCTGTATGCTAAATTCCGGAGCTCTAGGGTAAATTCCGAAGCTCTAAGTTAAATTCCGGAGGCCATGTTGAATTTCCGGAGTCATAGCCGAGGTTCCGAAGCTGAGCTTCAATTTCCGGAGCAGTTCCTCGGTTCCAAAGTTAGGAGGCGGAGTCAGCGGTCCGGTCCAAGGTGCGAAGCCAACTGCATATTCCGGAGCGGCCATAGGCGAGGTTGTCCGGAGCCAGGAGTTCCGAGATTGCGAGATGGTCCGGATGAGAGGCTTCCAAGATGAAATTCCTCTTGGCTCCTTAGAAGACATTCCGGACTAAGAGGTTCTGGACCAGGAGGATTCCGGACCAAGAGGGTTCCGGCCAAGAGGTTCAGGACCAAGAGGGTTCCGGACCAAGAGGTTCCAGACCAACATCAGGGAGTCATGTTGATCAGGGCATTAACATTAGTGTCAGAAAGACATTCGTTGATCAGCTTCAACTTCAGCTTCAGTAGTGTATAACCATCAATGTATCAGTGTATCAACGTATCATTTGATCAGTGTATCAACAGTGTAAGGACATCAGTGTATGGACACACTGATCAATACCAACGGATCGGGTCTTCAATTAATGACCTTTCGCGGTACCAAAACTTTAGTAGAGGCTTCAGAAATGTTCCAGATCTGATCAGCTAAGGCAGCTCAAATATGGTCTTCAGTCTTCGACATATGAGCTTCCATCATCATATATTCAGATTAACTATATAAACAAACTCCAACACATCAGCTTGTCTAAGTTGTATTATTTACACTTACTTAGACAAGACTAAATGTTTACAATGAGCAGATAAACTATAACTATAACATATATATTTTGCATCATTAAATCTATACAAATAAGTGTCCCAACAATCCCCTCCTATTTGATGATGTCAAAACTAAACTAATAAATAATAAAAAAAAATGAACTAACTGCATATGAAGAGAATGTTGATATCTGCTCCCCCTCAGATAAACAACATCTGAGTTTTGCTCCCCCTTAGATGTATAACCTTCTTCTTTCAAGAGTGTTTGCTATACTATGAATGATCAAGTGACAAGAGAGCAAAACTAAACATTTCTCCCCTTTTGACCGCATCAATAAGTGTGGTCTTCTTTATGATTTTTTTTTGAAATGAAGACATCAAGAAACCTGAAATGAAATAAAACATCAAATAAAGTTAAAGGGTGGGATGTTTATGTCTCATACGTTGTATGGTGTAATACAGGTGTTCTTTGACATGTGAAAGTTTGATTTTCACTACTGTATGTTTTATCATAGTGGTTTAGATTGATGTTCATGCCTCCTACACTGTATGGGTGGTACAGTGTGTTCCTAAACACTAGGTTGCCAAAAATCCCTTACCGTATGGTTTAATACGGAAATTCCTTGACATCAGAGAAAAGTATGTCTCACTCACTATCAGTGGCATAACAAGATCATCACCATGGGGGAAATAAGTTTCATCAATTGTTGGTTTGACAGCTAATCATTAACATCAAGGAAGAGGATAAGAAACTTGGAATCAATCCATCGTCAATTCATATTATGGTAATGCTCGATATTTCAACAGAACATGAGACTTGATGCATACGACAAGCATGCTTCCAAGGACGGATTCAGGTAAGAAACGATTAACCATGAAAATA